TTCGAGCTGTACCGGGCCTGGCTGCGGATGAAGGCCGGTGCCAGTCAGGAGGGCAACAGCTTACACGCCCATCAGAATCAATAACGAGCGAACGAGAGAATTATATTGATGCAAAGCAAAAGAATTCGAGAAACGAAGAACAAAGATTAATAAATAGATCCAAAATAAAAAAAAAAATGAGATGTGAAACAAATGACGCTTTTTAATTAACTTTGCCGGTTTTGTCGGATTATTAAAACGTATCAAAAGCATTCTTCGCTTTTTCTACAGACCTTTATTCCAAAGCTTATTTCATGTATAAAACTGACAAGTAGTTGCATAGAGAATTAATACACATGCTCTATAGCTATGGAACCACTTGAAGAGGTTTCTCATTTATCAAGCCCTTAATAATGTGTAGTTCATTGAAGGTAGTTGTTAACGTCTAGTCCTTCGAGGTACAGACAATCAATACAGGCGTCACCCAGAATTTCTATTTCACATCAATTAACAGCCTTAGAGTACAAGTGTAGAACTGGGCATCTCGTCGTGGTGTAATGGTTAGCAAGTTTGTCTCGCTAGATCAGTTCCGACTGAAAAGTGAGTTCGATCCTGAATGTGTTCCTCATATTTTCGGCCCTGTGTCATATCTAAGCTATGCTTAGGAAATAGGGCATTCCGATGTGGTGTCACGGTTAGCAATCTTGTCTCGCTAAATCGTTTACGACTGAGTCGTGTGTTCGACCCTCAGTGGGTGCGCCATATTTTCGGCCTTGTTTAGAAAATCGACAGCCACAATTGCAGTATGTTAACTCAATCAATATCGAGTGTAAGTGTGGACTGAAAATTTAATAGGCTGACTATGAACGAGTGATTCTTATTAATAACTGCATTGTTTCTTTTGAGGTACGTGGGTGGGCTGAAATGTCCACAGGCTGACTATGAAGGAGTGATGCTAGGACTGTGGAATCTTGCACGCATAGATTTCAAATCTTTTTATTAATAACTTCATTGTTTCTTTTCAGGTACGTGAATGGGCTGAAAAGTTCATAGGCTGACTATGAAGCAGTGATGCTACAGCAGTGAAATCTTGCACGCATAACTTTCAAATCTTCTTAATAACTGCATAGTTTCTTTCCATGTACGAGTGTAGGCTGAAAAGTTCATAGGCTGACTATAAAGGACTGATGCTAGCGCTGTGAATTATTGCACACATAAATTTCAACTCTTCTTGTTGGTAACTGCATAGTTTCTTTCCAGGTAAATGGATACCTGAGAGTTCAAAGAAGTTGGTCAGAAACGTCATCGACAGCAGATATGACGTTAAAACTGTGATACTGGTTTCCAGGTAGGTTATTTTTTTATACATTGGCGAACAGATGATAGTCAAATCAGGAGAATAGGGAGGTTAGATCAATATTTCTTTGATCATCTATAAGTTAACATAAATTCTTGTGGAAAGTGGGTGGATCCCCCATTGAAATTACGAAGGTCGGCTGAAACGTTCATAGACTGACTATGAAGATTTGATGCTAGAGCTGTGAAACCTTGCATGCATTAATTTCAACTCATTGAATAGTTTCTCTCCAGGTAAACTGACACTTGACTGTTCAAGGAAACTTCAAAAGTAACGTAGCGGCTAGTGGTGTTATCAATTACCTACAGAAAAAAGGGGGTTTAACCCACCACAATGATCTTCCTGCTGACGTAGTTACCAGCAAATGTGCCACACCAATTTTTAACATACAACGTGTGTTAGCACGTGCGATACCCTGTCTTTATCAGCCGCTGCTCAGGGGTGATATCACGGTTTCGGTGGCTATGGCGGGACCGCCACCCCTGGTGCCACCAGCAGCGTTTGCCACCAGGCAAGGGTATGAAGATAAGCTAATTGATCGTTCCTTTAAGTAAATTCTATCTGTAATGAAAGTGTCCTGAACGCGTTCGCCGTTATTTACGCGCTCGTAAAAATCGTTATAGACGACCATGCAAATATCTCACTTGTGCATGTTAGATCGTGATGTTGCACGCATTTTATTTGCTTGTTTTGATCTCGACCAAATCCAACTTGACGCGTGTTGAACAGTTTGTTGAAGGCGATGCGAAACGCTTTTCAACCAACGGCCAGTGATGCCTATTTTTGAAAGGAAGGAAATGACCGAATGTCCCAGAAACTCACGACACCCAATCTCAGTAGGCATCACGTGACACGTCCAACCATTTTCAATGCATTCGGCACGCAGTGACTCGTACCGGTTTTTCTTTAGTTCGTGGGCCTCCACCCTGTTCTCTTCCCAAGGGACTGTTAGTTCTATTAGGAAGACAGTCTTTTTTTTTAAGTCGGACCACAACACAATGTCGGGACACTTGTTTGTCTGTGCGATGTGTGTATTTGAAATTTTAAGGATGTCATTAGATCCACTGAAACCTTCCAATCACTGGAACCACTCAGCAGCTTTATATTGGGGGCTGTTTGTTTTTTTCTTTGTAGGGCATTCCCCTTCCTTATGGCATTCAATCTTAGTTTCCTTGGTTGCCACAAGCTGTTGATTTGTTGTCTCACATTGTGTTCTTATTAGATCCCTTATCATCTCTAATACCTTGTTGTGTCGCCATGTGTACATATGGAGCGATTACGGACAAGCAGAAAGCACATGACGCAAGGTACCTCGGTCTTTTTGGCACGAAAAAACACAGAGATATTAGTTACGTATAGGGAATGTCAAAATCTAACGAATACAAAACTTGAACTAATTACAGCACAAGCACTATAGCTATTACGTCACTGCAAGATTATTTTCGATTCTAAAGTCCCCCGAGGCCTAAGCGATCAATGCAGGCGTCCAACAAGGCTTAATTGTCGGTCCGATATTCATTCGACTTGACATGATTATACTCCACACATTTGTGAATATCTATACTAATGCCACAACGGTATATAAGGTGCACCTCCCAAACTCTAGATAACCAGAGTTTGCCAACTGATCTCCTCTCCAAAAGCTCAGTGGGAGAAAACTGGCTGGCCACGTTCAATGTATCAAAAACTAATCCTTGACGTTTCGCTATCGGCGATACGTCTATCTATCTGCCTATAATTCTGAGATGAGGTATTATGCACATTATTTGCATTATTCGGACTATTGCCCTCATCTTTGTCGCCATATTTATTACAACGTTTCGACCGTTGTACGCTCCGGCCATCTTCAGGTGGTTGGAATGTCGAACTGAACACTTTATTTCGCTCACTGGAGTAGACTGTTCTAGTTCCATGTGCCATGTTTAATGGATGTCAGTTATCAGTTATTTCCTGTTAATTCCCCTCTCCAAGTTCTCCACTGCCTTAACCGGGTATTGAACTCACACTCTTTGGGCCCTGTCACTGGATCTAACCAACACTTTTATTCAACTTTATGTTGGTTAGAGCCTTCCTCTAACAGCTCACATCCAATGTATCAGAAAGCAATCTAACCCTAACTTTCCACCATCGCTGATCTATCTATCTATCTATCTATCTATCTATCTATGCAGACGATACAACTGTATATGGGTGCACGGCCCAAACCATCAATGAACAGATTTTAGCAGCTCATCTCTCCTGTAACCGAGCTCTACCAGCTCAGTGGGGGGTAACTGGTTCAATGCATCAGAAACGAATCTAGCGACCTTCCGCCATTGTATCTGTCGCAGTCTGTCCAGATCTATCTATCTATCTATCTATCTATCTATCTATCTATCTATCCCAGTCTGTTCGTATCTATCTATCTATCTATCCCAGTCTGTTCGTATCTATCTATCTATCTATCTATCTATCTATCTATCTATCTATCTATCTATCTGTTTATATCTATCTATCTATCTATCTATCTATCTATCTATCTATCTATCTATCTATCTATCTATCCCAGTCTGTTCGTATCTATCTATCTATCTATCTATCCCAGTCTGTTCGTATCTATCTATCTATCTATCTATCTATCTATCTATCTATCTATCTATCTATCTATCTATCTATTTTCTATCTATCTATCTATCTTCTATCTATCTATCTATCTATCTATCTATCATCTATCCCATCTGTTCGTATCTATCTATCTATCTATCTATCCCAGTCTGTTCGTATCTATCTATCTATCTATCTATCTTATCTATCTATCTATCTATCTATCTATCTATCTATCTATCATCTATCTATTTATCTATCTATCTATTCATCTATCTATCTATCTATCTATCTATCTATCTATCCCAGTCTGTCTCTATCTATCTATCTATCTATCCCAGTCTATTCATATTTATCTTCTATCTATCTATCTATTCTATCTATCTATCTATCTATCTATCTATCTATCACAGTTTATATGATTTGATATCATTATATTTATTCCAGTTCTAATGTCACAACATTTATTTATCTATCTCATTCTGTTCACTAACTTTATATCGGTCTGCATATCTATTGCAGTGTGTTCACTATCTATCTATCTATCTATCTATCTATCTATCTATCTATCTATCTATCTATCTATCGCAGTCTGTTCAGTATCCCGAATCCAGAGTTTCGTAGCTGGATCCCTCTGTCCTTTTGTCACGTGGTATCTTCAATTACCGTTTATACATCTCGATTATTTTTATGAACTTATCATTGTTGTCAATTATTTTTTTTCCGTAGTGTGTGAGTGCACACGTGTGTGCGTTCCTGTGTACGTTCGTGCGCGTGCACCCATACGTTCGTCTGACATCCAGGCGTGGATGTGCGCACATTTAGGGTGTCGTGATTATTTTTCCTTTTGTTAATTCCCATATCCCACACACGCATTTATATCATCTACTACTTAGCTTTTCCCTCTTTGTTTTTTCTTTTTCTTCATTTCGTTCAGTTTTAGCCATTTGTTGCTATTTGATTTCCGGTTAATTATTCCAGACATTTTTTTTTAATTTTTGAGCGTTCTAGTCTTTTCATGAGTTACCAAAATTGTATTTTGTTTTTTACATAAATAACTGATTTTAATGCTTAAATGATA